AGAGGCGCTGAGGTGAGCACAAGGCGCCCTTGGCAAGCGAGGTGCAGGGCTGAGTGCGGGCACCCTTGGTAGGTGAGGCATCGAAGTGAGCACAGGTCCTAGTGCCCTTGGCAGGCGAGGTGCAAGGAGCACGAAACAAGCGCCCTTAAGAGGCAAGGTGCAAGAAGCACGGAATGGGTGCCCTTGGGAGGTGAGGCACCAAGGTGAGCACGGGGCAACCTTGGCAAGTGAGGTATGGGAAGCTGGGCGCGGGCACCCTTAGCAGATGGGGTGCTAAGGTGAGCACGAGTCTGGGAGCCCTTGGCATGTGGGCTACTGAGATGAGCACAGGCCTAGGCACCCTTGGCAAGTGAGATGCGCGGCAAAACGCTTGGGGTGCTGCCCTTTCTGGGTGTTAGGGTATGGCTCCTCGATGGTACCCAGCGAACAACAATTGGACGAGTTGTTGGTTTTGGTTTACCAACAATTTCATATTCTCCAGTAATTGTGGTTCAACTATAGGGTTTGTCAGCGAGGGCGGGACTTCTTCGTGACATGGTTGATCATCATCTTTTCCATGTTGATTCATTGATCTAGTTGTAATAGCTATAAAATGGAAAGACGGTAGAGTGAAAATGGAGAGATAGTAAGGTGAAAATTAAGTCATTACCATAGATTGCGCCAAATTGATGATGCACAAAAATGAATTTATGCACAACCGGTCAAACATTAAATGCAATAATAAATGATCAAAGTTAATACAAGCAAAACACAATTTAATTAGTTCTGTCAGGGTGATTTACCCCATTGTAAAATGCTAGGATGACCTGAGTGTTTTATTTCTCAAGGAGTGTAGAGTGCTCAGATGTGAGAGATGCCCCATTTGTATAGGTGAAGTTTACAATTTATAGGCGTCTCCTAATAGACTGAGGCGCCTTTCTTGTAACTGGTGAGGAAGTTTTGTAGAGGTGACATCATACTCGTAACAGATAAACAATTTTATGGAGATGGTGACATGCGTGTCCCAATGAGATCTTCTCGCATGTCAGTTGTGACTTGAGTTTGTCATCATGACGCGGTTGACATGACTCTCTGAAGATGATGCGACTAACTTGACCTGGCTTCTCCCATCTTATTGTGGGCTTGGTCTATATTTCTAAACTAGGTTTGGTCTATAATTTTGGGTCTAGTCTAGGCCGAGCCTAATTGTTTTGATTTGTATCAAGGTTCTATCCAAATCTTATTATATAGGGTCCTTTGAAGGTTGAACCCATTTTATAAACTTATTTGAACTTAAATCCACTCAAAAAATTTGATTGGAAATAAGTCTATTTTAATATTTATTGTCTAAAATACCCTCAATAGTTATATTTAATTAAATCTTGTTTGAAAAAACTAACAACTTGTAAATTGAGAATTGTATTAGTATTAACAATTCCTAACTTGTATATTGTGATAGCATTAAAGTTATTTTTCTATCATATCTATTTATATTATATCCGTCATTGCAATAGAGTAACACCATACCGTGAGTACTTATTTTATTGTAGGCAAAACAATAGCTTTAAGTACTCACACAGTTGTATTGAACTAGGTCCCTAAATTAGGTCCAAATAACATTTTTCTTGAAACTAACAATGATAGATAGTATTTATGGTAAGGATAATTAAGTAATAAAACAAAAAAAAATTGAAATATATACTTAATGACAATAATTTAATGAAAAAAAGACTTTATGAAATATAAGTCTGATTATGATACTTAAAGTCAATTAAATTTAAAAAAAAAATCTACGACCACATATCCGTATTGTATAGTCTACATGACCGATTCTCTTTATCCAGAAAGCGTGTGAATAACATTATTCTTCAGATCATTGTTATAAACATATTTGTGTTTGCGGGTGCAGGACATAATGAAAAATCCTCATGTAGCAGCAGATGGGTTCTCGTATGAGCTAGAAGCTATAGAAGAATGGCTGAGGACAGGACACGACACATCGCCCATGACAAACTTGAGGCTCAACCACAAGCTCCTCACTCCTAATCACACCCTCCGTTCTCTAATTCACGACTGGCATACTAAAAGATCAATTCCTCTTGTATAGTGATGGTGTATATCTTCCATTATAAAGGTACAACAAAGAGCATGTTTTTTTCTTCTTCTTCTTTTTTTTTTTTTCCATTTTCATTCAACAAATAAAAATTTCACTCCCACCAAGGGAAGTGAAGAGAAACTAATTGACAAATCAACGAATCAATAATAGGGTTTGACTACGGTATCAAAGTAGTTGCAGGATTGAAATTCACAATTTTTGTGGGTTAAAATATAATTTTTTGGGGTTTAATTACAACCAAACAAGTTATAATTTTTTGGTATCACATTATGACTTTTAGAAGAATTATATTCAGACCTCCTAAAGTTTGTTACTTAATTATTTTGTTACTTAATTAGTTAGACTTTTTGACATTTGAAATATAACACACAGACACTTTGAGATTTATACGCAAATAACACTTAGACACCTTCTGTCCAATGTCTATTAGTATATCCACTAATAAATTACAATCAAGTTTCTTAAAATTTGTAGGCATATAATACTAATACCCATTAAGTTTAAAATGTTATATTTAGACAAAAAAAATACTCAAATCAAATATAGAATATCAAATATTTTAAATTTTAAAATCAAAATTCATATTCTGTTGTATTATTTATTGAATTAAAATCAAATAAAAAGTCAATTTTTTCTTACAAAATCGTAATTAGTATACAATTATATTATCTATTGGAATAAAACTAAAAAAATTAAACAAGGGATCTAAGTCATTTATAATAGAACACAAATTTTGCAACAAAAATTTATGTTCAATGATGTCATGTATTGAAATAAAATCAAAAATAAAAATCTAATTTTTAAAAAAAATCATAATTAGTATACAATTATACTATCTATTGGAATAAAACTAAAAATTCAAACAAGGAGTCAAACTGTAATTGACACAATATATTCTAGCTTTAATTGAGGTAATTTAGTAGTTTAATTTGATCATTTAAACAATTAAATTAAATTCTAATAGATAATATAATTGTATAGTACTATATAATTTTTTAATTTTAATTTATTTCAGTAAATGATATAATAGAACATAATTTTGATTTTAAAATTTAAAATATTTGATATTCTATCTTTGATTTTAGTATTTTTTTTTGTCTAAATATAACATTTTAAACTTAATGGGTACAAATATTATATTTGATATTTTATCTTTGATTGAAATATTTTTAGTCTAAAATAATATTTTTAACTTAAAGAGTTTAAGTATTATACGCCTACAAACTTCAGGAGATTTTAATATAATTTATTAACAAATATACTAATGAACATTGACGACAGAGATCTAAGTTTTACATGCGTATTTATACATCAAGAGACTTGTGTTTAATATTTTAAATATCAAGAAATCTAACTACTTAAATGACAAACTTCAAGAAGTTTTAGGGTGTTTTAATTACAAACAAAAAATTGTAACTTGATTGTAAAATTTGTAAATTTATCTAAAAAATTAATAATTGAAAGAATGATACTAAAAAACCAAAAAAACCTTTTAGTACCTTAGATTTACCCATCAAGAGTAATGTTTTTGTCACTAACGAATTGGCATTTCCAAAAGCAATCATTTTGTTAATTTTTTTTCCTACAACCTTTCAGCTGACATTTCCACATTAGGTACATTGGTGAGTGGATCACAGAGGAGTTGAAGAAGAAGAACTACCAATGAAACTCTCTAATGGTCAGCTCTAATTCACAATTCAATAAGAAAGGAAAACGAAGAAGAAGAAGAACAACTAGGGTAGAAAATAGTGATTGATTCTTTTCAAGATTCATACTTCAATTGGTATGCAAATCTTCATATTGAACGCTTTCAAGAACCAGGAATATTTTTGTAAATCAAATGATCAGAAGGTTACTATTTTGAAGATGCTATACTTGTTAAGGACCACAATGGACACTCATAAAAACATCAATAATGAGGTTTCAATAGCTGAAAAAGTTGTCCCTTTGGGAACATCCGATAAAATTAGAACAATACAGAAAAGATTAGTCTAGCCCATGTGCAAGGATGACATGCATAAATCGAGAAATGGTCCAATAGCCGAAAAAGACAAAAAAAACTGATTCCTTGCGCAATGTATCCAGTTCAAGAGGACTATATGAAAACAAGAACAGAAAGAAAGAGAAAAACAGAAATCAAATACAGAAATCGAAAGATTCAACATGTTCCCAATCAGCTATGCATAGGTATATACTTTTATACCAGCTTCAAGTAATGAAAACCTTTTTATGTGCTGGTACAAATGGTTACTACACACCCCTGATCAAGAGGCAGCCGAACCTGGCAAATATACAAATCTAGCCACAAAGCGAAGGGACCAGAATAGCTGTTAGTGCATCAAAACAACAGGCAAAGTTGAATTTACCATATATTTGGGGGAAAAACTTGAATTTCTTGGATTTCACAGTATCTTATTAGAGATACTATAGATATCGATAGATCTCTTTGGATACTATCATATCTCTACAGGAATATGAATATTGATAATTTTTTTCTTATTCTATCATATATCTCTAATACACCTACCATTCACTGCCCTAATTGGCATGGTGAGAACTTTCTCCTTACTCTAACAGCCCTACCAACCATTTCAGCATATCAAATTAGAATTCCAAGAAAACAAGGAAGTTTTAGACCGATTTACAGTGAGAACCATCTTACTAAATTCTTATTTTCCAATACAACCATACTACTGCTAAAAAAGTGGTAGTAGGACTGCCTAAAGCACATAGAGCTGCAATCTCAAAAACTGATGATTTGCAGATGAAATCAAAAGGAAGGAAATCACATAGAGCCACTTTTGTCAAACATCATTCAGGCCATAGTTTCGGTAGTAAATCAATCCACCTTTTAAAGTGTATCAATGCCTAGTTAGCCTCTCATAGACTTGTTGGTCAAAACCAATTACCAAGGCACTCTACAAGCTAGTTGTACAAGAACACAAAGATTTCCCTTGTGGCTTTCACCAGTGTAACCCCATAACATATCCTAGCCATGTGAAATCTGTCTAAAATTCCTCATTCTTCTCTTTTCTAGAACATCATCTGCTATTTGAATAAGTCTAAAACAAAAATTTAAAAACCAATCTGAATGCTTCATTAAAATTTGATTCGAAGATTACATTTACTAGCCACACCTGATAAAAGTCCTTCCCTATTTCATAGTTCTTTTCATACACAAGGATAAATACAAGCCCCTTTAAAACTAGTGTATCAAGTACCTTCAAACAACTAGGTTAAGACAGTGAACAATAGCGAACTAAGAAGCACATATATGGACATGAGTGTCGTATCTGATATAATACGGGCACGGATATGGCGAGAATATAACTAATTAAAATAATAATGTGTGTGTGTGTATATATATATATATATAAAACAACATTAATAATACCTAATAAGACAAAAACACATCCATGATTTCCTCTAATATAATTGAAATAGATCAAAGATTCACATCCACCATTTACTAAATCCTAAATAACAAATAAATGACAGTAAATCACCAAAAATAAAAAATAAAAAAAAAAAAACAGATGCAGATTTACAGCCTGACAAAAAAAAATAAATCAACATTCAGCAACAGCAATTTTCGGAATCAAATGCACAGCATGACAGCAAAAATCAACAGCACATCACCAACAAAACCCTCCCAAAATATCTCTAAAATTTGAAGACCCTAACCCAATCAAATTAATAAATCAGATAAATCTAAACTTAAAGAGCAAAATCAAACCCAAAAAATACAAAACACAAGTAACAAAACCTAAAAAAAATGAAAAAGGAACCTGATAGCATTAGCAAATCTGAGACTCGCAGTCGCTAACAATAGCTCTGCGACTCGCAATCGCAGGTTGGTCTTCCCACTCCTCCTTGTTGTTGAAGCAGAACTGGTGGAGATGACCTTCGTTCTCCTCTTCTCATTCTCTGTCACGATCCTGTCACACTGGAAATGAAGGCTTTCAGCCTTTCATGATTGCCTCGTCCCTCTCCTTCTCCTTGTTGTCGAAGCAGATCTGGTGGAGATGGCCTTCGTTCTCCTCTTCTCTTTCTCTGTCGCAATTCTGTCACACAGTGGAAATGAAGGCTTTCCGCCTTTCATGATTGCCTTTCAGTCTTTCATTCACAGCGGAAACAATGGCATTTCTTTCTTCTTTTTTTGTATTTTTTGTTTTAGCCCCCTCAATTTTTAAAATTACAAATGAAACCCCGCTATATCCCTCCCATATCCCGCCCGTATCCTCCACATATCCCAGCCATATCCGGTTACAAAAAAATCATTTCTCCTGTGCAGGACACTTCCAAAAGTGTTGCACACTTGTCCAGTCGTGTCCCACGCGGTATCCATGTTGGACACATGTCCGACACTACCACTACAACAGCAACCCCTCGACAAGTATCCGTGCTTTCTAGACAGCGAATAATCTGAAGGAAATACCGTTTTACATATAACTTTGAACACCTAAATGCTGACTCTTGTTTGCAACTCAGAAAATTTTTTGCCTCCTTGAATTACTGCTTTCTTCAAGTTCCAACCAACTATTGCATTCAAAGGCAAGGATGAGGGCTCTAGTCCAAATCAGAGGTGCATGATTAAATACAGAACAACAATTGGCTATTAGTCATAAACAATAGCAAAGTTCTGTGTCTGAGTGACACCTTTTATCCTCTTTTTCATAGTCATGCTACTAAACACAAGTCACAACTACAGCAGCAAACACCAGCACATGATAATTTTCATCATCATTCTCAGTAAAGGAGTTAACCACATACTTATAGTTAACGAAACCAGTTCAGTGATAGCACAGTAATGGTGAATACAGAGTTTCCTCCACATAGAATGATCTCTTAATGAGGTATGTGTGAAAGTAAAAGGTATAAAAACTTACCACGTAAGGAATTTCTAGCATAACGTCTGTATGTGTTCAAGAATTACTTGTTCTCTTTAGCAAATGCCAGCAGATCTACAACTAATTCAACTGGTTTCCACTGAATACCACCAGCTCCATTCTTCAATGATAATAGTCATAAGACAAGTATTGGTGTGGCAATCCTATAGTTGGCCGAAGAAGCTAACAATCACTAAGATGTTTATTCACATGGAAGCAAAGTCAACTTCAACCCTCAACTTTGGTTTTGGTTTTAGTTAATATGACTATGGTCATCAATTGTTTATAGGCACAATTTATTTCGAGCATAACGACCCAGAGCCAACAAAAATCTTCCAACCTTAAAAGCTCCTAATCTGTCTTCCTAACTACTGCATTCCCCACATAAAAACAATATGTTAGTCCACTAAGCCAAGACCAAAAGACCTTCACATATACACCATGTCTTTCAACAATCCATATACCTAAATCAGCTCCATGAGTAGAAACCCATAAAACAAGAGACTCGTCAGAAACCAGCCATCAGCAACTAATATCAAAGCAAAGTACAATTTTGAGAAGCATACACACATACATAACATGGGACTGATCACAATCAAAGCACAAACAACAAAAAACGAAACAAAGTACAATATTTTTGAAGTATATGTGTGTATATAGCACGTACATAATCATCTGTAAGAATGACAAAAACCCACAAAAAATTCCTGTTGGTGGCATCTATTTTGTGGGTACAGGAGAGAGGAGACCAACCACTCGCTCTTCCTGTTCACGAAATCGACGTTTGAGGTAGGTCTCTAGGATCTCCATGACGCATACGAACCGCTTCATCGCTTCCAGCTCGCGGCTAAGCTCGGCTTCTCGGGCTCTGGCTCGTTCGAGTCGTGCCTCAGTCTCCGCTAACCGACCTCTCAGATCTTCCACCACTGGGCTGTCGTTCGCAGCCGGTGCCAGGGTCCGAGTGGTGGTGGTTAGTCCGTCTTTTGATGGTAATCGTTGACCACCGTAACACATGTTTGGGGGTTTTCCCGGCGATGGTGACAGACAATCGTTGAGGGAGAGAGAGAGAGAAGATGGAGAGCCTGTGTCTCTTACAAGAGAACAGATAGAGATTGTCTTTTTAGTTTTTACTCCCTCACCTAACCCTAATGTATTTAGAACAACTCCGAAGAGAATGAATACAATGTGTATCCAAAATATATTTTTTTATTATATTATTTATTTTAAAAAATATTTTTTTACTAATTCATTCTAATAACTTTTCGTTATGTTAATTAATTTTAACCAATTATTAATTATTAAAATTTAAAATACTATATAACATGTCACGTCATCACCATAGTAATGATATCACCCGTGTTATACCACGTGATTAAAATTTTAAAATTTTAATTTTTATTAATAACAATCATATTAACAACAATCACGTTATCAAAATTTTAAATTTTGAATTTTTCAACGACCATATTAATACAGTCATTTTTTAACGATCATATTTACAGCGGTCATATTTTTAGATATGTATAAATTGGATCTTTTCTCTTATTGTCACACACCTCAAATCTATTTATTGGTATTGCACTCTTCTTTGTTTTTATGTTATGGCTCGTCATCCTGCAATCAAGATGATTTTTAATGATTCTGACTTCGATGATGAATTGGAGATGACAACAATTTGTGCCATAAAAATGAACAAACTCAATAGCGAGAAAAGTTTTGGTGTACGTTGTAGTTCCATTCAAGGTCATTCAGTTATTTTTCGCAATCAAGTTCAAGGGCACGAGAAACTATATCGTGATTATTTTGCTAAATTGCCTATATATCACTCAAATTTATTTCGGAGAAGGTTTCGAATGAATCAAGTCATTTTCCTTCGTATTCTATCCATGGTAGAAGTTTATGATCCATATTTTATCCCAAAAAAAAAGATACTGCTGAAAATACTGACTTGTCTTCACTTCAAAAGATGACAGCCGCCATAAGGATGCTTGCTTATGAAGTTACAGCAGATGCTATTGATGATTATGTGAGGATTGACGAAAGCACCGCAATATAAAGTTTGAAAAAATTTGTGAGAGTGGTAGTAGCAATTTTTTCTGATAAATATCTTAGGTCACTAAACAACAATGACATTTCTAGATTATTAGCAATATGTATCAATCGTGGATTTCTTGAGATGTTAGGTAGCATTGACTGTATGCATTAGAAATAGAAGAATTGTTCAACAACATGGAAAGATATATATTCTGGTTACGTCTATGAACCAACAATTATTTTGGAGACGGTGGTTTCATATGATCTCTGGATTTGACATGCCTTTTTTTGGGTTATCTAGATCCCGTAATGATATCAACGTACTAGAACGTTATTCTGTTTTTGCTCTCATTTCACAAGGTCGAGCTCCTCTAGTCAATTTCTCAGTTAACAAAAGAGATTATACAATGGGATATTATCTTACTAATGGTATATATCCAAAATGGACAAAATTTTGTCAAAATAATTTTATCTTCAAGAGGCAATAAACAAATACATTTTGTAAAATCTCAAAAGTCAGTAAGAAAGGATGTTGAGCGAGCATTTGGAGTGCTTTAAGCACGATTTGCTATAGTGCGTGAACCAGCACGTTTCTAGACACTTGAAGTGCTTAAAGATATTATGAAAACATGTATAATATTACATAACATGATTGTCGATGATAAGTGGGATGCTAATGAGTTGAACTTTAATTATGATGCAATGGATGAGAGTCCCACTACCACTAACAGATTAACGAGTGCAGAACTTGTTGCATAACCTCCGAGTTCTTTGCTCTTTGATTTTCGTAGTCGTGCTTTCTTAGCTTTCCTTCCATGTGGCCTGTTTAAGGATCCATAGGATCCACCGTCATCTCCTAAATTTACCGAGTCTACTATAGAAGGCACAAAGTTGTCATGAGTTACATTATGCTTTGTTTTTTGCTTCTTTGATTGAGAATCCTCCATCCATTTTGGTTGATACCTTAACTCATTACATCAATGTTCAAACCGAAAAGAAGATTTATAGAGTTCCTTGTACAAGTTCTTGGCATCACGAATTGAAAAAATCTTACAACAAAACTCATTATTATATCTTTAAAAATACATTATTTTGTAAGAAAATATTCACTTGTACCTTGTCTTTCTCTGTCAAATCACTTTGATTCAGCTTTTCTATCTGTGCAAAGCACCTATAAAATTTGTTGGTGGCTAGCTGAATTGCCGACCAACGATTCATCAAAGAATTTTGATTACAGCTATGACATTCCTTAGGTTTGTATTCGTTGAAGAACTCTCAAACCTTTTGTCAATATGTCTTTGATTTTTGCTCATTTCCTTACCCAACATCCAAACTAATATTAAGTCATGTCAAAATTATCATAATATTTTTCTATACTATAAAATTGACACCTTGTTGTTTTTGAGTGGTGAATTCTACTTGATGAGATATTGGTGAAGATTGACTTATAACCTTAACATCTAAGTTTGTTCCATCATTCATGAGATTGGTGAAGTAAGCACCATGTTAGAATGGTTCCATGAGTAATGCATATAATTCAACATGGCCACCATGGTCGAATTAACAAACTTTCTAGATTCATGATGCCAAGATTCATTAACAAAATATTTTTCACAAATTCACAAATTCCTTACTCAAAATTTTCACAAATCCCCAAATCAAAATTTTCACATTACAACCACAATTCACAATTCAACCACAATTCACAATTTAAAATATCACATAATTGAATTATAATTGAATATTTATGGATATCTATGGAGAATTATAATTGAATATTGGTAAGACTCTGAGACTGAAGATCAAAACATAAAATCTGGAAGATCAATTCAATTACACATTATCCAAATGCATCCAATTTTCAAGACAAAAATGTTGTTTAGTTCAGTTGGGGAATTAATATTGGATTTGATATTCTTTTATTTCAATCAAATGATATGTTAAGCATGCTAGTGTTGCATCTTTCTATCAGGGAAAAATATATTGGGGCGTCATTTTCTACTATTTC